GCAGCCTAGTGATTATAGATCTGGGCTTGGTAATCAAAAGGTTGTGGGTTCAAACCTACTACCCTTGATCTAGACACTTTTATTTAAATGGCGGTCATTTGAAACCGTAAATTGTTTATCTACTCTACCATTCAAAAGTTCGGTGTTTGTAGTATATTTTTGTTTTTTGAAAGAAGCATCTTTTGTGACACAAGTGTCTTGTTTATTTAATCAAAATACAGTACTAATAACAGTAGTATTGTGAAATATTACAATTTAAAATATAATTATTATAATTATGATTATTATCAGTTAAAAACAGTTCTACTGGTTATTTTTGTGGATATAATTTTTTTTTAAAAGGGGTCATATGATGCTGTTAAAAAGAACATTATTTTGTGTATTTGGTGTAATGAAATGTGTTTATGCGGTTTAAAGTTAAAAAAACACATTATTTTCCACATACTGTACATTATTGTTTCTCCTCTATGCCCCGCCTTTTTGAAACGCGTCGATTTTTACAAAGCTCATCGGTCTGAAAAGCGAGGTGTGCTCTGATTGGCCAGCTATCCAGTGCATTGTGATTGGCCGAATACCTCAAGCGTGTGTGACGAAAATGTTACGCCCCTCACCATATTGTGATGCCGTGTCCCACAAAAAACCTGAAAACCCATTATAAACGAGGCATTTGTTGCATCCAGTGGGGACATAATTACGAATTATAATGACTTATACTGTCTTTTTACATGTTGCGTTGCATCGCGGCCTAGCGTGAGCTGAGGCCGGGCTAGAGTGATCGGAAGCGGGCGGGCTTGAAAACGACGCGGCCGGCGGATTCGACAAAGAAGCGGCAACCACATGTGACGACCCCGGGCTGGACTCCGCTTTTTATAAAGAATATCTCATTGGATTTGAGACTTTAGTCTTTGCAACTTTACAGATCTTCTTTATGCACCAAGAGCTTGTAACACTCCAAAGAGAAAGGAAAATTTGAAATCGCATCATATGACCCCTTTAATTCAATGGCAAGTCAGTCTTTTACAATCAGAAAATACTCAAAAACATTTAGTAAACTTCTTAGGACGTGACAATCTTATATATTCATGATTGAAAAGTTACACCAAATACAGTTTTACCTCGTGCCATCTGGTCTGTAGACATTTACAGTTGTGGTCAAAATTTTACATACATTTTGTAGTATCTGCAAAATTTTAATTATTTTACCAAAATAAAAGGGATCATACAAAATGCATGTTATTTTTTATTTAGGACTAGACTTGTGCCGGTATTCGGTAATGCGATATATCACGGTAATGAATATGCACGATATTGTTATCGTGGGCACTTCTAAATACCGTGAATAAATTATTGCTGTATGCGACGGGTGCGCACTCTGACGTAAACAAACGCAGACGAGAAGCACATGGCGGAACATGTGAAACATGTGAGGGATGAAAGCGCACTTTCACTCTCTGACAGCAGATGGCGCTAAACTGCTGAAATAATAATAATAATAATAATTAATAATGTTCATCACAGCGCCAAATACTTAAATATTTAGACTTAATAGGCTATTTATTTTCAAACTTTTTTTACATTTTAATCTGGACTACAACATGCCCTAGATATTGTTTGAAAGTGTTTTGATTCTTTATTGTTCGGTCACACTTTACATTAGGGCTTCATTAGTTAACATTAGTTAATTCATTAGTTAACAAACTGCCAATGAAAAATTCTTCTGAACATTCATTAATCTTAGGTAATTACAATATTTAATAACACGTTGTTAAAATCCAGAGTTGCAGCTGTTATTTAATGAGCTAACATGAACAAAGACTTGTATTGTTTTAACAAAGATTAATAACTTCTGTAGCAAATGTAGCTATTGCTAATTGTGAATGTTAATGCATTAACTAAAGTTAACTAATGAGGTCTTATTGTAAAGTGATACCTATTGGTCTTTATAGTTCTTTTGCACTTTAATCTGTGTAAAACTTTTAACTTTATACATTTTTCTGTATTGCTTTATTGCATTTAAATGTTCAGTTATTTTTGTTATAAGAAAAAAGTTATTAAACCTGTTATACTGTATTATGACAGCACTTTTTTTTAACTTAATTTCAATATCATGATAATACCATACACCGTAATAAAAGCATTAGCAATTAATCGCAACATGAAAATTTGATACCGGCATATCCCTATTTAGGACTTGAATAAGATATTTCACATAAAAGATGTTTACATATAGTCCACAAGAGAAAATAATAGTTGCATCTATAAAAATGACCCCGTTCAAATGTTTCTTAAAAGTTCTTAATGCAGTGTTGTTACCTGGATGATCCACAGCTTTAAAAAAAAAAAAAAAAAATAGTTGTTCATGAGTCTTTGTTTGTCCTTAATTTCATTCAGAAAGTTTCCCCTCAGGAAGTTTTCTCTCAGGGCAGAACATTGACCATTGGTCTTTGACAAATGTATCGGTTTTTAACCGGTTTGGCATAGATTATAACAACCCAAGTATTTACTATAATATACTATAATATAGTATGATACTATAATATATAAAATACTATAATATAGTTAAGTGCATTTGTTTAAGCTCTTTTGTCATTTCTTCCTGCCTAGAGGGCAAGTTCTGATGGCACATCTTACCCCACTCTTTTCTACTGGCCTGCCAAGATAGTATTTTTCATCCAATGCAAGACCTTCATGGTTATAACAAATGGAGCTTTCTTTATTATTTGACTTTTGCATGGCCCCAGGTAAGAACACTGACGCACAGAAGTTAAGTTTGCCAGCAGAGATTGTGCGAGTGCAGTATGTGCTGACTGTGTGTCAGGGTGACTCAGATTGAAGACACACCCTGTACAGGCCCTGCCTCCACTGATCTTCTGTGAATCCGGCCACGAAGGTTTACTCATGCAGTGCACATAATTGTAATGTTGCTACCAAGTATTTAAACATGCATAGTGATTCAGTGAATAATCCCAGAGCTTGACCATATTTTTTTACCTTCCTGTGTTAGTTGTGAGGGAAGAACTTATGAACTCTCAATTTGTTTTGTCTATTTGTTTATATAATTGAGATTATTGTTGTTATTATTACAATAAATTATTACAACAATACAACACTGATAACAGTGTTTCTTGAGAAGCAAAACGGCATGTTAGAATGGTTTCTGAAGGATCATGTGACACTGAAGAGTAATGACTGCTGAAAATTCATATATATATATATATATATATATACTGTATACAGTATATATATATGTATATGTGTGCGTGTAGTATTTTCACAAAAAACTGGTTTTAAGCCAGTTATTTCTATCTTTTTTGTGGTGTCAGTAGGAAATATCTACTGACAAGCAAGTTCCTGCTGGCAGCAGCATCAGCAATAATCTACAACTACAGCAATAACCAACAGCAGCAGCAGTAGCATAGCAGATATATTCCGCCAAGACCAAATACATTAACATCGTCATATCCATTACCAGGCTAAAATCTTCAGAGAGTTGTCAGGATAGAATTCTAATAATCCAGTGAGATTTTTATATGCACAAGGAGTCTGACAACAGCCAGTGCTCTACACAAAGATCTGATCTCACCATCATCCAGTCTGTCTGGACTTACATGGAGAATCAGAAACAGACAGACATGAACTGTGGCAACATCTCCAAGACATTTAAATAAACCTTCCTACACCTTCCTACAAAGCTACCTGAAAAAAAATTATATGCAAGTGTACCTAGGACAAAAGCGGTTTTAAACAAAAGGTGTGGTCACACCAAATGTTGATTAGATTTAGTTAATATATAAGTTAATTGATAAATCAAATCTACTTATGGCTTTATTTTTAAAAGCATCCTCACTTTACAGCATTTTTACACAAATGCCTACAACTTTTCACAGTACCTTTGCAGGAAGGTTTCTTCAGGTGTCTTGGAGACATTGACACAGTTCTTGGACTTTTGCACAGTACTGTGTGTGTGTGTGTTTGTGTGTGTGTGTATATATATATATACAGTGGTGTGAAAAAGTGTTGGCCCCCTTCCTGATTTCTTATTTTTTTTGCATGTTTGTCACACTTTAATGTTTCAGATCATCAAACAAATTTAAATATTAGTCAAAGATAACACAAGTAAACACAACATGCAGTTTTTAAATGAAGGTTTTTATTATTAAGTGAAAACTACATGGCCCTGTGTGAAGAAGTGTTTGCCCCCCTGTTAAAACTGTGGTTTATCACACCTGAGTTCAATTTCTCTAGCCACACCCAGGCCTGATTACTGCCACACCTGTTCGCAATCAAGAAATCTCTTAAATAGGACCTGCCTGACAAAGTGAAGTAGACCAAAAGATCCTCAAAAGCTAGACATCATGCCGAGAACCAAAGAAATTCAGAAACAAATGAGAAAAAGTAATTGAGATCTATCAGTCTGGAAAAGGTTATAAAGCCATTTCTAAAGCTTTGGGACTCCAGCGAACCACAGTGAGAGCCATTATTCACAAATGGCAAAAACATGGAAAAGTGGAGAACCTTCCCAGGAGTGGCCGGCCGACCAAAATTACCCCAAGAGCACAGCGACGACTCATCCAAGAGGTCACAAAAGACCCCACAACAACATCCAAAAACTGCAGGCCTCACTTGCCTCAGTTAAGGTCAGTGTTCATGACTCCACCATAAGAAAGAGACTGGGCAAAAATGGTCTGCATGGCAGAGTTCCAAGACGAAAACCGCTGCTGAGCAAAAAGAACATAAAGGCTCGTCTCAGTTTTGCCAGAAAACATCTTGATGATCCCCAAGACTTTTGGGAAAATACTCTGTGGACTGACGAGACAAAAGTTGAACTTTTTGGAAGGTGTGTGTCCCATTACGTCTGGCGTAAAAGTAACACTGCATTTCAGAAAAAGAACATCATACCAACAGTAAAAGTCCACACAGGTGAGGGTGCTGCTAAAGGAATGTGCAGAGAGCGAATGAGCAAAGGACAGAGGGAAAGGTGGAGCGACCTTGTTACCTCACAAAGCCAGAGAAAGAAAGGAAGGGTGTTGCCTGCAACCCACCTGAACAGCTTGAGCAAGAGAGGAGGGACCAGACACACATTCACTCTTAAACACAAGTCATATCTGGGGGGAATATTCAGTCGATTTTGCACAGCACCAAGAGAGGTAGGAAGGGAACTTTTTCCTGCAAGCACAAGAAGTTTCCCCGTTGTTTGAATTTGTGAAGACGCAGGTGGAAAACAGGTTATTTTCCCTCTTCGGTTAATCATTGGACACAAGGGAGAGAATTAAGGATTTTCTTTTAGAGAACTTTGCTGTTTCTGGTTGGACTCTGGGACTTGGATTGGGAAACAACAAACTAAGAGGTTTGTGAGATCAACAGTCTTTTTGTAAAGCCACAGTCATGCATGTATTTTGTAAGGCTCTTTTTATCTCTGTACTTCCCTTTTCCTCTTTACTTGCTTGTCTCTTTTTGTTTGTTGTGTTTTTCAGCTGATGTTTGTGGCTGGCGAAATTAATAGAATTCTTTGAATCAGTTTGTTTTCAGTCATGTCTTTAAAGTTTGCCCACTGCTATTCAGCTGTTTCTGTTTTTCATCTTCTAAAATGTTTCCAGTAAATCTGTATGAATATATGAGAGTGTTTGGCTGTTGGTTGTTTTGCCTTTTGCAAAAGAGAGTCTGAAGCTTTGAAGCACCATTCATTTTCAGTTGTTAATTTTTATTTGAATGATGTTATGCATTTGTGTCCATCAATTCACATTTGTGTCTGGATCATTCTGTATATATTGTGACTATTAGGTTTGTTGATTGTATTTTAATGTCATTATTATTCTCAGATGGATTAACATTGTCAAATTTGTATTTAGCTTTGCCGAGAAAATTAGCTCTAAAAAAGTTGTTCTTTAAAGTTTCAAAAGATGCAAAAAGGTGCAATGTGAAGGAATGACAACTTGTAAGTCTTATTAAAATGCTTCATTTGCCACAAGAAAATGTCAAGTACACAAAATGTCTAATAGGCTATATTTGTATTGGGTACTTCTGGGTTCTGTTGTTTTTCTCTGTGTATGACTAAACATGATTTATATGCCCAGGTTAGCACAGGCCAGATCAGGTTCACAATAGCATGCTAAGGTCTGTTCAGGTCTCAAGCGCAGCGATATTTATATGAGATTGAGTTTTCTTGCATCCTGGAGTGAAATTCCAGTGATGTTGGTCAAAATATGAACTTGAGCAGTTATATGTGAATGTAAAGTTGATGGATGTGCCAACACTAAGTTTAGAACATCCTGTTTTGAGGGGGAAAAGTATTGTTTTGTATATTTTGGGGGTTTAGTTTTTTGTTGGATAAAATTTGCAAGGCTTTCAATTTAACATGATAATTTAGTACACTTATTTAAAAAAAACTTGTATGTAAACGTGATTTGTAAGTAAATACCATAGTTAGCAATTTTTGTGCTATTGGATATTATATATATGACAGAATATTTTTGACATTTATATATATATATATATATATACATATTCAAAGTACAAGTACTTGAAGTACAAACTTGATGGTTTTTGCAAGTCTGCAGTCAGTTCAGCACCAGCTGCTACTACAAGTAATACGTTTCACAGAACCACATTTAGCAAGAGCAGGCCGCACAGAATGAGTATGGAGATGTTCAGAGAATGTGTTTTGTGTCCTAGATGGAGCTCAGTGGAATTGAACAAAATGCAGGCTTCGGAATTTGACTAAAAACAAGAATTCAAGAATGTATCGTGTTTCTAATCAGCAAATATTGATATGGAATTAAAGTCAGAAATTAATGTAATGCAATTAATTACAAAAAAAAATGTAATCATTTGAAAGTTATATCAAATTATGCAGAATACAATCAAAAATGTATTTTTGCAATTCAATTAGAAAAAAAAAAATAAGACCAAAGGGTAATGCCCAAATATATATGAAAAGTTGTTCTCAAACTTTCCATTGTCTTTCTCTTCACTGTGTCCATCTGTAGAGGATATGAGAGGAATTCCTGAGGAATCATGGTCTGTTTCTCCTCTTCACTGTCAGAGTTCAGATTTATGGGGGGTGAAATGGGCTCAACTTTCATTTGATGTTTTCAGGGAGAAAGGGAGAGAGTGAAAAGCGAGAGAAGGTGATATTGGACAGGTGGATCAGATTTCTGCGTCTGTTTTTGTGATTTAAGTGCTGATATAACAGCTGAGGTGCATGCTATTCTGCTGTAGATTAGATATGGACAGGTCTCTAAAAGTGTAATGGACACATACAGATAAATGGTGTAGATTTTAAGTAAATGTGCACTGCAGTGTGTCTGGTCATTATGAGGTTTTTGCTGAATGTTTTATGGTGTTTACCAAGGCATGTCTTGCATGCCTTGAATTACTCCGTTCAGTTATGATCAGCTATGGTGTGTATCTCCGTATGTGTGCATGTGATTCTGTGTGACATCTGTTCACCATGTTTAACTTTATGTAAAATGTGTGATCTCACTATTTTTGTATTTATGTTTCAGACTGAAATGGGAGGATGGGCGCTGCGTCTCGCTGTGGGGATCTACGTTCTCTTGCTCGCTGTGACAGCCAGCCATGCTAATGAGGGTGGGAACATCAACTCTTAAGCCCCCTTAACCTCAAATCTCAATTACAAACACGTTTACTTAGGAAGCAATGCTAAGTCAGTTAAAAACACCAGATTACTTTCTGCTAACTATAATTGGTAATGACAACCAATATATGTGATGACATTTGGGTTGATATTTCATTATCTAATACAGTGAAGTACATTTTTTAACTGTCCAAATGCTTTGCATGCTATAATGTGTCAATCTCAATTACACGTTTACTTAGGAAGCAATGCTAAGTCAGTTAAAAACACCAGATTACTTTCTGCTAACTATAATTGGTAATGACAACCAATATATGTGATGACATTTGGGTTGATATTTCATTATCTAATACAGTGAGTGAAG